GGGAGAGGACTGCCTCACCAGCCATAAACCTCACCGCACGTCACTGAGATGAACCATCAAGTCATAAAAACACCTACTGCACATATGAGTTGTTATAGGTAGAAAAAAAGTCTGAGAGCCAGAAAAGTTTGCAATAAGGTTCAAATGTCTCATTGGAAGATAACAATCCTGTTCATGTTTATCTTTAGGGTTTACCTGGGTATTTCAAGAAAAAGAGTAATTGGATTGCTTAGTGGAAAATAGCCTTGAAGTGTTGTGAATGATCAGTATCTTTCTGTTTATATAATTATTTTAAAGCAGTAAAAAACTTTTGTCAGAAATCAGGGATAAAAATAATGTTGGCATATAATTCCTCCTCACTTAACAGTCTAATAGAGAGTGGTCAAAGAACCGAAATATCAATGTTTAAAACTTTCTTTCTGTTTCACCAAGGGAAGTTTCCAATGAGTCTTCTTTTACTCACTGGATGTAACCCAGTATCTCATCATTCATATATATGTATGTATGTACGTACGTACGTACATACATACATACATACGTACATACATACGGGTACATGTTTATAAAATAAAAGACAATTATGTATTTTAAAAATGTACTACTTCAACACTATGCACGATGAAAGATTTTATTATCAAGATAAAATGAAGATATAAGTAAAGAATATTTTCCACATATAAATCAATGTATATAAGACATTCTGGTAAAGTAGCCAGAGATGATTTTTTGCTGGCTACTTTATGTGAAATGTGAAATATACTAGAGAAACTTGTAAAGATACTTCTCCTGAAAATAATGTATTTCCTAGTTTTATGAAACTTTAATAACATGACCTTCAATGGTCATGACCTTCACTCTAACTCAGAGGGAGGAAGAGATACAAGTATTATAAATAATGAAAAGGAAACCATTGCAATAAGGTAGAAAAGAAGGAAGAGAAACAAATTATACACTACTGAAAATTATGAATTGTGCTGAAAATAGAACCACTGTAATACTGCTCTTATTAAAAATATTATTATTGGATATATGATAATGCTATTATTACTATTAGTGTAATAGAATTTACTAAGAACATTTATTGATGCAGTTCAGACCAAACATTCCATAATTGCAAATGTTGTCCAAAACAATAAGTTCAAAATATAACCAAGCTATTTACTTATAATAAATAATCATAAAATAATACAATATAGTAGTCCGCTAAAATCCTGAATGTTTATTCTTGCTTATTTATTAGGATTTATATGCTGCTCCATTCCCAAAGAACTGTAAGTGGCTTAAGAGCCCTCAAGAAGATTAGAAGCAAACAAAACAACATGATATAATTAAATTACAAATGCGAAACTCCTGGCACTCAATATTTGCACATGTTATATTCATCTTACACTAGGACTACAGGCTGCATAAATGAAAACCTGAAGGGAGAAGCACTAAAAGCACTGTTATTAAGAAAGATTAATAGCCTCTTATACTTTTTTTTGGCAATGACAAAAAATAGAAAGCAAAAATACCTTGTGGTGTATTTAGTATATACATCAATACATTAGCCAAACAAGCCCATTTAGAAGCAAGCCTGAATTCTTTTAAATATTTTTTTTATGCGTCTAGCATTTTTTTAACAGTAGTGTGTACATACCGGCCTCCTCTTGTACAGCAAGTACATAAAATGCACAAGATTGACAACAAGGAACACCGAGTTCCAGATTACCATATCCACAGCACAACGAAAAAGGGCTGCCCAGATGATAAAAAGTAAACACCCTGCCAAAAATAAAAATGTGAAATTGTTAGGCATACAATTTGGCCATCCCTAAACCAGAAAACTAAGTACAGTAGAATATTGTGTTGTAACATTTTATCTCCCGTAGAACTATCTACCAAGAAAAGATTAATGGTAGTAAGAACAATGAAGACTATGTCAAGAAAAGAATACAAATTATAGCATTATAGAAGAATTTCACCCACATTTGTCTGAAAGCATGGTCAGAAAATGAAATTGCTCATTTATTTTTTTAAAGTATTTATGGATTGGTTTTCCACACATATTCCAAAGCATTCCCCCTCCTCCCAAAATCAAACAAAATCAAGCAGCAGGAATACAGAAATCAGTTTACAAATAGGTTATAGTAAATTCTCATTTCAATAGATTCTTAAGGGTGCAACATTTGAGTCTAATATACCTTTGCTTACCCATTGTCAGCATAGCTCGTAGGACAATCATATGGAGATTTAAAGTAGTTGGAATAACCAACCCCACTGCAAAACATATATTGGCCATATGAAAAACCAGGTGATGGATCTCTCTCCAATTTTCACATACAGTTTCATTCAAAGGCACAGAGGTGGCATTTCTGAAGTCCAGGTAATTCAATGGGGCTGTGGTAATTAAACTGGCTTCTATGAAGTTCATCTTGAACTAGCCTGTTAAAAAGAAACATAGGTTGAACTTGCAGTGTGATTGAATATTCATCTTTTTGCAATAGGATTGAATGGGAACACATCCCAAGAGCTTGAAAAGTTATATACGGAACATGTCGAATGTTCGCTTAATATTTTTTTTAAAGAAAAGCAGTCCTTGTATTTATCAGAATTCATTCAATCACGACGAACTGTATGCTCTTATCTATGTCATTCTGCATACATAAAGTGTGTTCAACAAAGTAATGGGTATAGCTTTGGCACTCAAGTAACTGTTAGCAGAGAATACTTAAAATAAAGTTAGAGTTCCGCTTATCTCTCCCACACCTATCCAACTGCCATGTATCTGTGACATTAAGCAGCACTACTAAATATAGTACCTAATGCAATGCTGAATAGAAGATAAGAAGCAAAAGAGTACACAATATTTTAACAGCCAAGTTTTAAGGGCAACAAAAAATATTTAATTTTCAAACATAACATTATAGGCAATACATTTGACTCTTCAGAAAACTATCCACTTATGAATATCAGCAAAGGGATTCAATATACATATAGTCCATGATTTTTCCCTAGTCAAAAGTTAAATATTTTTTCTATATGCAATAAATGTGATAATGATTTTCTCAACAGTTCTTTAGTTTGTGCATCAGCAAACATGCTTATGTGATTTGTACTCCGCTTATGCTAGATACTTTAGCAGAATGCAAAATATCTGCTGTCTGCATTTCATCTTGTGTTAATTTTTGATACATATTGCAGATTGATGGTTTTTGATGGACAACAACAACAGCTGGAAGAAAAGCATGAACTTTACAACAATTCCTTGAAGTGTTGGAAAAATTTTGAATGGGCAATAACCATAGGCTGAGAGTAGAAGATATATTTAACCTTTCTCTACATGTGTAGGGTGCTATTTTCAAACAGAAAGTAAAAAAGGATAATTTTAATCAAGAAAATGGCTTACAGAAGAAAGTTAAACTTACTCAATGAAGCTGCTGTACAACTGTAAAACTCCCTGAGACTATTATAAAGGAAGAAGCAACAACTTCAGAAGTCATTCCACACATATACTGTGTGCTTCTGCTTCAGCCCTTATGTCCAGAAAAAAATTAAACACAGCATGACTTACTTCACACTATGTCTGGATTCATGATACTAAATCACTATGTGGCATCATTCATTGGTTGAACCAGGTCTTTAAAACCACACAGTAATATTTTTTATGTTAATGCCTTAAATATATTCACAAGTAGATGTTTTATTTTAAGGTGTTGCTCTGGAAGTGAAGCAAAAAAAGAGAGAGAGAGATAATAAGTGAATTTCCAGTATCATGAAATATTGATCTCCAACTTCGCAGATATACAGGCAGTTAAAAAAAAAATCCACTGGATATCATACTCTGTTTTATATTAGCAATAGCAATAGCAGTTAGACTTATATACTGCTTCATAGGGCTTTCAGCCCTCTCTAAGCGGTTTACAGAGTCAGCATATTGCCCCCAACAA